TGTTTAGCATGAAAATAGGCGTTTGGCACTTAACCTAACTCAATATATGGCATGTATGTGGCTATGCATTTTTTGTATGAAAATATGCAAACTATTTCTGGCATTTTGGCAGTGCTCTAATTTATAACTATATATATAAGCAAGTGTAGGTGCATGAGTTTAATTGAATAAAAACGATTTTTCACTTTATTTAAAAAAAAAAAATTTTTTTTAATTAAAAAAACAAAAATCAATTGGCACTAATATTAGTTTATATATAGTATTATATAAATATAGTATAAATTATTGCTAGTCGATTTTTTTTTACATAAATTTTTTTTTTATATAAAATAACGTAAAAAATCGCTTTTATAGAATCAAACACATGCACCTACAAAAATGTGACATTTCCAAAAAAAATATAAATAAAAAAAAATCTGAAAAATCGGTTGTATGATCTGCTCGATACGAAATGTTCAATACAACAACGGAATACATCTGCTCAAAGTTGTTCCGAATGATTCGTGGAATATTTTCAGCATAGCGATTTTTCCATTTGTGCGGCCCTCTACAGACCGATCCGACCCAATATATTCATATACATATATGAATATACATTAGGGTGGGCCGAAAATCCTTTTTTTTTTAGAATATTCATAATTAATACCGAAAATATTTTTCTTTGTTAAAAAAAAAATATTTTCAAGAAAAAAAAAATTTCGGTCGACATCTTAGGCTTGCCAAATCCAGTTAAAGTTAAAAGTTTTTGGAAAATTTTTTTCTTACCTTATGTCGATTGGAAATTTAATTCTCTACAAAAAAGGTCCTGTAGTAAAGTTACGTAGAGTTGCTAGCTTCTGAGACAATTGCGATTTTCCAATATGGTATTAATTTTTCTAGATGAAAAATGTATCTGATCTTATTATTTTCATAGGGAATTCTATTTTCTACTGCATAAATCTAAAAACAATTTTTCTAGAGTTGATTGTTACTGAAATAACGTCCTTTTCGCTATAAGGTAAGAAACAAATTTTCCAAAAACTTTTAACTTTAACTGGATTTGGCAAACCTAAGCTGTCGACCGAAAATTTTTTTTTCTTGAAAATATTTTTTTTTATTAATTTTTTTTTAACACAGAAAAATATTTTCGGTATTAATAATGAAAATTATAAAAAAAAACGGATTTTTGGCCCGCCCTAATATACATATACTGTAAAACATAGAAAAAATACCAATTTCGACTAAACCGACTTTTGTGTTGTTTTTTTTATTATATTATATATCATAAAACTTTCACCATCTAAATTGTTATTTCGATTAATTTAAGTCCGTTCCGGTGACGTTAGTAACGGCAATATTTTTCGTTTACTAACCTCCCACATTAGCTTGCTTGAGACTTTAATAATTAATGGGCGTTTTAAATTTTTCCATTAGTTATGAAGTTCAGCATTATGCATGACTATAATTTCTTCAAGTGTAACATAATAAAATATTCATCGATTAGCTACGTTAAACACGAGTTTGTTTCGCAAAATTTTTTTCGTTTTAGATGTGAACCTCGTGTCGGTCCGTTACATAATATTTTATATTAAAAGTAACTGTAATGATAAGTACACTTAATTCGATTTCTTGCACGGTTTTGATTTAACACAGTTTGTAAATAAAACAATTTTGAAGTTTTTACAATTTTTTTTAGCAGGATTCAAAATTTTTTTTGGCTTACATTTGGTTTGTCAGATTTAATTTTTACGAAATATATTCATATTACAAATTAAGAGAAATTCCTTTTTTGTGAATACAAGCAAGTTGACTGATCAGAGCAATTGCAAGGAGCACAGATTTAGAGGAATGATCAATGTCTTTTTTTACACGGTTTTATCTGCAACCAATCTACCGTGTAAAAATAGAATTAGGTGCATTATTCAAATAAAAAAATTTTGATGTTTTAAATTTTTTCGTGAGTTTAAGTTTAGAATATTAAACTTTCTCGAAATTATATTGATATGAACAACTTAAGATCCAGTTAAATATTATTCTTTTAGACATATGTATATATTATATAGTATATATTTTTATAGCCTAAACAGTGTATAATAAGTTTGTCACGAAGTTTGTAAGACCCAGAAGAAAATGTCGGAGGAGCTATAAAATATATATGCAAATGATCAGCTTGGGTCGATTTAGCCCTCTTCGCTCTGCATATATGCAAAAAAGTCCTCTGTTTTTAAGATATCAACCTAAAATTTTGCACACTTAATTTATTCATCAAGAAGAAGAATTTTTAATTTGTTGGAATTGCCGCTATTGGACCACTGTAGGTTATTGCTGTCATACAAACTAAACACTGAACTGGTCATCAACAAGTCTTTGTATGAACATTTTTTTTATTTGACGAAATAACTTCGCGAAATTTGACAAGAATTATTATTCAAGACAACGGTAAAATTTCCGCACAAATTATTCATATCAGAACACTACAGCATATAACTGCTATACAAACTGATCAATCAAAATCAAGTCCTTGTATGGCCATTTTTTTATTTGTTACGGTACTTTCCTGAAATTTGGCATGCATTATTATCCAAGTAAATGCTATAATCTTCAAACAAATAGTTTAGATCGGACCACTATAGTATATAGATGCCATACACGCTGACCGATCAAAATCAAGTCCTTAGTTGGAAAATTTTTTTATTTGAAGTGATATCTTCACCGAATTTGACAAAGATTATTTTACAAAGCAACCCTACAACTACCTGAACAAAATGTTTAGATCGGAGTACTATAGCTTAAAGTTGTCATAGAAACTGAATAATCCGAATCAAGATAAAGATATTTTGATACCCTTTTCTGCTATAAGAAATGTAACTGGGAAGTATATTATCACTTCGTTGCAGCCGCAGGTAAATTTTTTTTTTATGTTTTTTCATAATTAATATTTGAGTCTATAAATCATACACCACTTTATCGTGGTTCCGCCCCTTCATATTAATCGTTCAAGTGCTAGATGGTTTAAGCAAGACTTTGAAACAAGCCATACAGAGCAAGAAACCTACAATGTGTTGGAATGAACTTTTGTTCAAGAAATTATATGGAAAAGTCTGTGTCTCAAACTGTCAGCTGGGTACTCTTACTTGACATCGCTAAAAAAATTTTTGTAAATACACTGCATGTGCATATATATGTCAGCTAGGGTGACTGCTAAGCTCAAAACCCATATTCGGTGTATATTGCCGAGGTTAGACCATATATGCTGGAAAGAGTGCTGCGAAATAGAGCCGACTTTTTTAATCGCGATTTTTCATGCAACCCAGTTGCGCTAATCACGTTGCCTAAATTAGCCCTTTTAAGGTTTTTTTATTTGTCATAAAAATTTGACACTTCCATACCGCTAAAAAGCACCCTTTACCAACACTCACAAAAACAGCCTCTCTCAATTATTTCAATATATTTATTTACTTATTTTTTAACAACGAAAACAGTTTCACTTTTATGCGACTGATCGCACATTCTTTTCATAAATGTATGTTTGTATGTGCATGTGTATGTATTTTCATTGTGTTTTTGTATTATCATAAACGCTTTACTCCCCATTCGTGCTTAGAAACTTCGCACTTTCTGCACGAAAACATATCAATTTATGCGACAACTAAACGCATACATACTAATAACGATTATTATTGTATTTAACACATATATCATAAACATACATATGTATGTACATACAAACGAGTACAAAATGTTGCATTCACACACACATGGCGCGCGGTGACTCTATGAAATGTAATATATGCAGATTAACTAACTGCTAACCAAGCGATCGTGCGCCGTACCGGTGGCAGCGACAGCTCAAGCAACCCCAACTCACAAGCGCGCTGATAGACACACACACACACATGCATGCATAGCTGTGTACTAATAAGCGCTATAGCACATATATATGTTTGTGTGTGTGTGTGTTTGTGTGTGTAGTATATACCTTGTTGTTCAATTAGTGCAGAAAACTCTTCTGGTTTCGGGACAATTGAATAATCACCGTCATCAACAGCAGCAATGCGCACAATAACAACAACAATAAGAGCAATATACGTAGCGATAAAAGCGAAAGCAACAACACAACAATGATAAGTTTAAGAATCACAGCATAGCATTACCTATATAGGTATGCTTGTAGTATATATATATTGTATATGTATAATATATTAGATGTAAATATATAGCGTATAGCACACATTAATTTACATATGTACTAAGTAGCATGCCACATTTTCATATGTGAATGTATAGCGTTAGATAAATAAGTATTCAGTGTATAATTTTAAAATTTTTACATCCTGAGCAAGGTATAATAAGTTTGGCACGAAATTTGTAGCACCCAGAAGTAAACGTCGGAGACTCTATAAATAATATACATACATTTAGTATTAGATAAATAATCAGGCTGACGAGCAGAGTTGATTTAGCCAACGATTTAATCTCTTAGTTTTCGAGATATCGATCTGAAATTTTGCTCATATTCTTAACTCGCCAAGAATGTGCTCAATTGTCGAAATCGCCGATATCGGATGACTATATGATATAGCTGTCGTACAAACTGTTCAATCAAAATTAAGTTCTTGTATGGAAAACTTTTTTATTTGACGAGATATCTTCACGAAATTTGACATAGCTTATTTTACAAAGCAACCCTACAATCTCTGAAAAAATTCTTTCGATCGGACCACTATAGCATATAGCTGCCATACAAACTAACCGTTAAAAATCAGCTTCTTGTATGGAAAACTTTTTTATTTAAAGAGATATATTTACAAAATCTGGCAGATATTTTTATTTAAAGCAACGCTACAATTTTCGAATATTTTGTTCAGCTCAAACAACTATAACATAAAGCTGTCATATAAACTGAACGATTGAAATCAAGTACTTGTGCACATGTGACAGGTATTATAGCTTCGATGCAGTCGAAGTTATTGTATTATCTTGTTTTAAATTTTTTTTAGCTGATCTTGCTGGATACTCACACAATATTAACACTGTTGTTGTAGCAATTTAAAATAACGCCGTGGTGTATGCCTTCACGTAGGGCAGCGCCTTATTTAATATAATATATACTTTTTTGTATGTATGTGTGTATATATTGCACAGTAGCACTTTGCTTGGTATACGCGTCGATAAGCACACTGCGGTAGTTAAATATATTTATAAATATATATAAAAATATAAATAAAAATTATTTATTTGCAAATACGTTTGAATGCGCGCGCCTTAAAATACCGTTTTAGACACACTGCAACTGACAGCACTGCGCTGACAGATCCGACGACTAACTAAATCACTGACTAACGAAATTAGTGGCGAACCGTTGAGCGGAGGAATGCGCGCCGCATCGACACACCAGCGAGACAACTTGACGCAGCGGAAATTTCAATAAAGCGCTACTTTTACTTGCTGCATGCAGGTCACAACAGGTAGGAATATTGTTGCGTGCACGTTTGCAGGTGTGTGCGTTTGCGCGCGCTATCAGACAGCTAGGTAAGGATGTGCGCTGTCTTTAAAAACTGGTAAATACGGAACGAAAAAAATTTTGAAAATTTTAAAACGAAAACACAAAATTTAAAAACCGTTTACGCGCAACACTTCAACACAACGTAAGTAGCGCATAGAACTGAACGATTCAACGTCGAAAGTTAACTAATGGAACCGCACCGTACTAGAAACCCAGCACCGGTGGTATGTACTCACACTAAATGACCGTCTAACCGAACTGAACTAAACTAAAACGGAATTGAAATGATGTATCGCGCTTTGGGTCAGTCGGCCGTTGTGAATTTTGAGTGATGAGCGTGCGACATGCTCAAATAACTAGCTCAAAATAAGGTAGCATGTATAAATAGCAGTAAAAAACAAAAAGTTGGAACAGAAGTTGTAGCGCTCAAAAAACCAAACCAAAATTTCTGGCAATGCTTTGCGCTTATTGCATGTAATTAGAAATAATTCAATTGAAAACATTTCAGCATTTACTCACACTAGCGAACAGCGCCTAGCATAGGCAAAGAGCGCGCGAGCGTTAATTTACGCGCTCAAGTTTGATTTTTCGAAATATTTGCGCTCAATAACCTGTCGAAAACTTCCGAAAAACCTGCGGAAACGTAAAAACAATCAATCAAATTCTATGCGCATTGCACGCTCTCTAACGCACCAGCTGTGATAATCAGTCGGCCGCTGCACGTGAGCTCCGATAAAGCGTGGAAACACTCAAAGGCTGTCTAATATTAAGCGCAATGCGAATTAACCACGCTTTGTCGACGTCGCTTAATGTGAGTGAGTCGTATTTTGGCTGGTAAATTGCGTGAGAGTGTTTGCGTAGTAAGCTCGAAATTATAGTTTCGTTATCAGTTATACTAAACTATGCCGGATCCATTATATGTCGTTAACTCAGTAATTTCGTTGTTTTGAGTGCAATTTAAACACGATTTCGTTCCTGTTTTTTTTCAATGAAATTAGATAGTATTAATCTTTCGGCAATCTCTCAAGTTGTTATTCGACGATTTGCAACGACCAACGACATTATTTTATGCACATCGACTTCAAGAGGTCTTCCTGAACATGGTGCATCTTCAAGATCGAAGTTGCCTGTACGAAATTTTGCAAACCAAATTTCGCTTTATTGAAACTATATTTTAACACTTTTGATAGTAAAATAGTAAAATATGCCGAAAATGCTGTTTACGATCTTCCATCTTCGATAGGGCACCAAACAAAAACTATTCCAAAAAAAATAAGATATTTTTTTACAAACAAACTTTACAATATCAGCTGTTCAAATATATAACAGTATAGCAGTAAAGTGGTTAAGTGTGAAGTTGGCTGCGAAAAAATTCTGTATGATCATCAAACGAAAATACTTAGTGAACGACTCATTAGTAAATACTTTTTAGATATACATATATAATATATACATGTATATCGAATTATCTGGTTGCAAATTATAATCGAGAAATAATCTAAAATTAAATAAAAAGTGGTTCGTTATAGCTCGGGAGGCGTTGGCAAGTGCGCAAATTTTTGGAAAACCTCTCACGAACAAGAACGAAAATAGAATTACTTTGATGATAACTTAAAATGTGTAGAATCATTGTCGGACAACTTTAAAACACAGGAATTATTTTACTTGTAACAAAACCAATAAAGTTATACAGCACAGAAGAGTATGGAAACGACTGAAATGTTTATATCGTTGAAGAAAAACATTTTCGGCACATAGATAGCTGCCATCGGAGGCGATTTCATATACGATATCGAACTTTGCAATACAACAGGCCTTGATACTTTTCAAAAATGCAATTACCTTTATCCTTCAAATGATGTGTGTGAGTCAGTAAATCGTTTTTGCAGCAGAAGAGTATGGACTACCTCGGAAGAGCAAACTAGTTCTTAAAAAATGCCACCAGAATACTGTAGCGGATTAAATTCCAATTTGTCTATAGGTGATACTAGCTGTCTTCGTTTCGCCAAGCGTTACTCTCCAGCGACTCGTACATACTATATCAGATGCTCAAACAAACGTGCAGCACTTGTGGTGCAACCGTGCGCTAATATGTCTTCTGACGCATGTGCTATGGTGTTATGATTCTGTTTTAGTGCCGAAATTCTCTTTTTTTCGCGTTAAAAAACTTTGCTGTAACCCTTTATTTTTGTTTTCTATAAATTACAATAACTGATTTTAAGTTTTAAGTCGTATAATATACCTAACCCTACTCTGCATGAGAAAAGAACTCGATTCTTTAGAAAACGGACACGGAAATGTATGTGGTTAATAAAAATACACATTTTTTATTTAAAAGTCATAATATTTCTTATACTTAAAGTGTCTTTATATGCCATAATATAATAAAACCCGGTAAATACCTAAAACTGCCAATGCAGTACAACTCAACTCCAACGCCATTTGTATTAATTTCCGCTCGCTTGAAAGTTTGCCTATAGATTTATTTTTCTCCAGTCCCGCATAAGCAATAGCCCAAGCACTTGTAAGTACGCAAAATACCGCTAACCCACGCAACAATGTCACCTGTCATCGTGAAGTTACTCATCTAGCGAGCTCGTTCTCGAGCTGTTAAATTGTTTAACACTCACTAAGAACGCATTTCCCGTCTAAAGTCGCAAACAAAGAAACAATTCAGTAAACACCTAAGAATGACAAAAGCAAATATTGAAATAAAGAACTCAGCCGGCAATAAAGCTAGACCTTCGCATTGTTGTTGTTTTTTTTTTGCACATTATTCACATAATAAGATCGTAAATAAAATCATCGGAATTGGCTCTGCCGGGAACTGTGTAAGGCGATACAGCATAAGGCAGCTCATTATCGAGCGCCGATCCCTTTCGCCTTTTGCGGTCGTTGGTTAATCATCAGCGCTTGCCATCGCCGATCGTGTATTGGACTTATTGGGTGCATTGGGCTTTGACTTTCTTGGGGGCACGTTTTATTGCTTGTGCTCTTGACTTGTTGTTGGTGTGCACGCATAAAGATTTGATTAATCACCGCATCGTATGCTAATGTGCATGTGTAAATATATACTGCTTTCATATTGTGTAAAATAATAATAATAATAAACAATGCGAAACAATGGGTGCATGAAAAAGTTTTTATTCTTGGAATTCACGCTGATTTCCAAGTGGACAAGTGGAGCGTAAGAAACATACTATGCGCATACTTACTTTTTTACTGTTCTCTTTGCGGTTTGAATGCATCTGCCTATATTCATAGTGAGAGTGTTATATACATACACAAATGTAGTGATTCACAACCATCATAAGCGCAAATTTCCAAATTTTTCTTCTTAATTTTTCTAGTATGATCTTTTGATAAGATCTGTAATACTGTCTGATTAGAAAAAACAAAAAAAAAAATCTAAAAAAATTTTAATATGGCTTCATTTAACCTATATAATAGATAGTCGGAATCCAAATAGTCAAGTTCTACGGCGTGGAAATATTGACCGATCGGGATGGTGTAGATATACTCTATATAGTTAAAGTACCTTATAATGGGCACTTGTAGTCATCTCTACTAAACCTATGCTTGATTGTCTTCTGCTAACATTTTTGTCCACAAGCCACAAGCCCACTCAGAATTACTAAGCGATTGGATGACACTTTTTTTCATATTAGTAATTCGCTCGCATATTTCGCTGTCGAGAGGGCTGTGACTTCACTCGGCACTTCGTAATAGCACAGCTACACCACTACACCACAGCGGTTACTATTCCAATAAGACGACGAAGAATTGTTAAATTTTGGTTATGCTAATTATTATCGAATGGAAATATGCTTGCCGATTGAAATCGAAAAGAGATTAATAACCACAAATTATTCAGTGATCTTCGAAAGTAGTTAGGGCAGTCTAGCGCCATTTTGGTTAATGTTTTGGGTATTGAACGTGTAAATGCTAGACTCGCACCAACAGTTCTAAATGCGTCCTGACATTATAGCATGATTGTGACTGATTTCTTGGCCAAACACGAAACATGAGTATAAGCTCATCCACCGTAGTTGCTACATTGGGCTTCCTGTGAATGTGTTCGGTTTTTGAAACTGAAAAATACGCTTCGCGAAGTCCGCCATGAATCTATGGACCCAAGATAGAATAATGACTAGACTTATATAGCAACTACGCTGATTTAGTGGACTTCAAAAAACTGGTCGTGAGTTTTGGAAAAGTAACCAGCGCGTGGAACAGAGAGAGGGAGAAGTTGCTTATTGTTATGATTTAGACATAAGTCCACCATTTAAAGCCTAGGAATCACTACAGCTGTAAGCATTAGATTTTAAACTTTCGACAGATAAGTACTAGTTCCATGAAGGCTGACTTAAATTACATAAGCAAGAAAAAATCTCGCAATGCTGCTTCAGAAATTAGTTAAATTACAACAAAGTTCGGAAAACTTTACATATGCACAGGCTTTTATGCGCTTTCCTATGTAAATTTGTATGTATGTATGTTTTTAAACAGCTTGAAATTTGTGCAAATCTTAAAGGCATCAAATTCGTACCGTCTTGAACTTTGCTGCGCACTTGACAGAATAACCAAGTAGATAAAGATTGAAGCATAACAGCAGCTGCTCGGCAAAGATAATACACAAATCAAAATTAGCATCGCCGACAGCGACAAAAATAAACGAAATATAATTGAATGAGCCCGAGATCGTCAATCTGTTGAATGAAGCCACAGGCATGCCTACTAATACACATGTATGTATGTATATGTACGTACAGTTGCATATTAAGCTATAAACGTACAACTACATATGTATATGTATATACACGCATAAAGCTATTTACTGTTTTAAATTGAATTATATGATAATTTCGTAAAATAAATGTACGGACATAAATACTCCTGCACGTACCTTATGCGGACTGTGCGCACGTGCGCTAGTAAATTCAGCTCATTAAAAAATCCCATACACATGCTTGGTACACGTTTTTACGGAAATGTTTAAATGTGAGTAAAATACGGAGCATTGACAACTTTTCAGCGGCAACATGTTGCCAACTAGAATTTTAGGTTAAAATGGTTGATCCTTCGAAAAAAATTCACTCGCAATTTTTTTTCAATATCCTAAAAAAATCTGAGCGTTTAACTTAACCAATCTTTTTACCTTTTTCTAATTGTATTGACACTTGAAATTTGGTGACTTACCGACTACTTTTCCGAAAACTACATAAACTGCTAGGTAGAGTGAAT